AACTAAATACTCTCTGCACACATCAGTAGTGTTGTGAGTGTCAGGGAGTGCAAGTTGGTGTAAGGGGCTCTGACTGAAATCATCTACTTATTGCTCATGAATGCTGTGCAATTTGAATATTTCTCTTTCTCTCTTCAATTTGAATATTTCTCTTTTTTTTTTTTTTTTTTTTTTTAAGCAGGGTATAGACTACTCTACAATGCTATATAAATAAAAGCAATAAATTGTAATGGACAGGATTTATATTCAGAGTTTTCCATAAACAAAATGAGTTCTTTTTTTAAACAGACTCTTTTCTGTTTTGCTGTTTGACATACTCATGAATAAAGTGCACAAGAAATGCAGCAACAGCTCAGAACTAAGATACCAAAGAAGTTCTCCCAGTATAAGAAAAAAAATCAGAAACCTTCTAAGTTAATGACATCAACTACAAAATAGTTGATACAAAGAAAAGATATGAAAATATCTTTGCAACTCTTTTCATTAACATCTGTTTTCCAATTACATGACCATTGGCCATGTTTTCCAGAAAATACATTATATCATTGAAGCAATTTTCTTTGCAATTATTTTTCACCTATTATTTGTATTTCTTAAACCTCATGCCAGTGATGACTCGTCACAGGGCTACAGAAATAAAGTGATCAGTCATTTCCATAGGGTTAACATAGACATGCCTTTAATGAATGCTTTGGGAACACTGAAAGCTCAATTTTTGCTGCTGGTAAAAAAATCCCACAAGATGTATAGACACTGAAAGCCTGTTCAATGATTTAAAGTCAGGTAAAAAAGGTGAGGAAGGATTTCAACATTTTTGAAAAACAGAGACCCTCTTTCCAACACCTTCAGGAGGGAGTTTTCCTTTGCAGTAGCATAAATATTTATAACACTCACCACCACCTGCACAATCATCCCCATAAACTGATATGCTCCCATAACTACTGGTAATGAAACGTGTTTTACACTACAGGTCTTGGGCAATGCTTCTATGCAGGGCAGACATTATCAAAACAAGAGCAGTAGGGAACCTCCTACCGTGGCACAGCCACTGGCTATTTTAAGGTATTTTCTTTCCCAGACAGACATCCCATATGCACATATGTATGTATACAAAGCTACAGGAAGCAGTGTTGCCTAGAAGGTGGGGCAGAGCCTCTGGATTCAGGAGACTGTGTTCTAGTCCCAATTTTTCCACCGATTTCCAGGCAAAATTTTTGGAAACTTACGTGATCTTTTTGTAACTCGGTTTCTATCTGTAATACTAGAATGGTGATACCTAATTTTGTAAGAAGCATTGAAATGAATGGATGAAAAGTATCATGTACAAAAAGAACAAAAAGCATTATCTGAAAAAGTTATAGTTGTGTACATGTGCGTTTTAAAATGACCAGCCTGGAGTAAACAATGTACAGAGTTACCTCATTGTGCGTAGATTAACCATCCTCATTCCCTTTGGGACGCCTAGAATATTGTAGTTACTGAAGCAAAGTTATTTTGCTATTTCAGCTATGAATATTTTGGATAACTAAGAAATTTTAAGGTTTAAATTTTAATTGGTGTAGTGATGTCCAAGCAGAACTGAAAATTTATTTAATTTCCAATCCTTATTCTTTTCCATTTGGAAGGAACCATTATTTAAAATTTATATCATGTGAGCAGTTTTTGCTGGTACATTGGTCATCATCCAGTTTTATACCATTTGAAGATTTTTGTAATCGATTAAGTAGGATAATATTTCACATTTGCTATAAAATTTTGGCTGGACAGACATTCCCCTTTATGTTCAGTTGTAACAGTCTGCTCGTAGTACATGTCCTGTGCATAGTACAAAAGTGACTAGTTACGTATAGTGAGAAAAAAATCTGGATAAAGAGCAAGACACAGAAAAAGGTGATCCAAACCTCACTTCAGACAATAGAAGCCTCTTCCTCTGATTACAATGGCTGTTGGATAGGAATCTAAATAGGAAAATCAAGGCATTCATCCAGTGAAGCACTTAAATATATGATTAGACTCACTTATATGTCATTGAAAGCCTGTTAGCTTTTGATTTCAGATGGATTATTTGCAGGGTGAGACACAAGTCACTATGAGCCAAAATAACAGAATGGGGTCTCCGGAGTAACGTGCATAGACAAGATCTTTGGGTCAAGGAACATGGAGATGTTTGTATCCCCATCTTTGGAATACTCACTATAGCATGGCTGAAGTACACTTAATGAGATAATCATGTGCCTTGCCAAGCTTAAGTTCGGGGCAAGTCTCAAGCATGCTATTTCCACCTCCACGGATGGAGGCTGTTCGGATGTGCTGTGCAAGGCGTAGAGGTCTTCCACTGCCCCATCAGTTCTGCTGAACTGGCTGTATTTCTTGGAAATACGGCAATGTACTTGCTTCAGAATGAAGCTTTAAAGAATGTGTTTTTACTTTCATGCTCTTCATACCTATTGCTTCTCTGGGAATATGATAGAGAAGTTTTGTACGATTGAACAAGCAAGATCTTTCCAGAAAGGAAGCTATTAAATATGAATCAGAAAGTGGTTCATAAAGCACTATTTATTCCTGCATCAGAATAATTTATACCATAAAGATAGCGGCTAACATTAGGATGTTAAAATGATATATGTTCTTTGAAAAGTAGAGGATTTTAGATTTAAGTCCAGTTCTTGATTATCAACAGAAAAAAGGAGTTGTTTAGCATTTTCTTTTTAAACAGTCATATATATATATATATGTAGAAACAGAGATTTTTCATTGAAAATAGGACAGCTAGAAATGCTTTGCTCTGCCAGTCCTTGTATCTCAGACATGCAAATCTTAAAGGTGGAAGAAATATGAAAAGAAAAACTATCCATTAATTGTCACAGAAAGTTGAATCCAAGGGCAAATAGAGATACGTTTCAGTATTTCTTAATGAATCACAGGACAAAGAGCAGATTACTTCACATGTGGAAGTGCCAGTATTTACCCTAGCAAAAATATTTTTTAGGTGAGAAAATACTCCCATATTTTGCAATGAAATGTTACCGAAAATGGCAGTATGTTGGGAAATTAATGGGATCTTATATTGTTGCTGAACGTACTGAGAGGGACTAAAGACCATACGTTAACTCCTTATGGTTCTCATTTGAAATGTGTCAAAGCATCACTAGAACTAGATAATTCATTACAATCCAGTGCAGTTAAGCACCTCATAAAGTTAATATTCAACACTTGTATTTGCAGCACTTTCACTTAAGTAGATTTTTAGGCATGTTGTTTAAACCAAACTAGTGTTGACACAATTATTTCATTTTGCCTTGTGTCAGCATCAGATAATCATATTTTTCTTTATTGACTGGTTCCCTAAAGTCAGTACAATTACCGGTGTTATAGCACAAAAGTGCAACAACTGAAACACTCCATTTCTACTGGGTAGGACATGGCATATATGGTAAGCTCAGAAATTTCAGTCCTATTTTTCAGACTTTCTAATAGAGCCTCCCTTCTACTTTGAAAAGCGTCACAGCTGGGGCAGAATTCCTTTCTTGTCAAAAGTTATACAACTCTTGATATATAATAGATCTAGAAATTTCTCATCTTCTTCATAATAAACACCAAAAATAGGCTGGAAATATCATCTTTCTCACCCATACAATACATAGGAGTGGAAAAAATACCTCACACCTCCAGTATAGGTGTAGATTGTTTCTCTTATCTTACCTTTTCTTTCCCCCAAATGAAAACATTTTGACAATGAAGTGATGTCCACATTGCCCACGTTAATTTCATAATTCCTATTTCAATCCACTTCTTTATTGCTTTTCCCTGTAAAATTTTAAAATTTCTTCATCGTAAAAACAAGCAACAGTTCTGAGCTTTTTACAAGTAATATTCCAGGGAAAAAATATAGTTGGATGTTTATGTAATGCTAGTACCTGATCTTAATTTAGATGGAACAGTACAGACAATAAAATATTAGTAACATTACTGTTGTTAAGAATGCTTTAAAATGTCTAGCAAAGTATGTAGTAAGAAGGGATTTATTTTTCACAAAACAGCTGTGTTTCTTAAAACCACTCAGTTGTTTTCATCATTATCTGTTGGTCTAAGACCAGGTATTAACTCCTCTTAAAAATGTTATTGTGAGAAATTATTAATGATGAAAAAATATCTTGAAACATTACTGTCCAGGACTGCGTAAAATTATGATGTCAGCAAAGAAAGAGAAAATAAATTAGCATCTATAGGGCATGGCCATTATTGCTGAAAACCACAGACAATTACATATGATTTGGAGGCGGGCATTTATACTAGTTCTGGAGTTAATTCACACATTGGTTGTTTTATGTATACTTTCTGATTCTGTTCAGCATAACAAAATATATTGAGAACTCTTAACACCTTTTAAAACTCGATTCACTTCTGATGCAATAATAAAGATTGGGCCAATAAAGTAGAAGGAAAATCCATTTGTGAACCTTTTCACTGAAGTATATTAAAAAAAATCTCCTGTTATTTGAGCTTACCTTATAAAATGTTTACATGCCATTAAATAGTACTAACATGTCCTGTGTAAATTAAATGGGCTGTGATGTTCCCTATGTCCTAAAGAGCAGTAGTACTTGTGGCCATAAAAATACCTTCATGTAATAAATCAAATGCTGTGCTCCTAAAAGTGGAATTATAAAAACAAAGGGACACAATCACTGACTAATTAGCTTGTCTGTGCATACTCTGCCCTGCAAGCGCTATAAGCATAAGCACGAGTAGGTTTTAACTTCAGTTCCTGCATTGTGGCCTATGTTAAGGGGTGGTATCTGGTGCAGCATAGAGGGGAGACCTGAGTTTAGGGAATAATAATGGGCAGGGGCACGTGTGGAATGGAGCTGACCCCTTTACTCCTCATTTTCAGTTGCCACTTTGCAGATCGTGTTGGCCAACCCAAGAGTTGGCCCAACCTCACCAATGCCCCTTCTTTATTTTCACTTTTGGATGTATTTCCTGCTTCATTTCCACAGGCAGGGCATATCTGCAGACAAATCTGTCCCGGGGGGAAGATGATGAGTGCCATGGCACAGACAGCAGCTCACCTCCGCCATTTCATTTGCGTTTCTGCATGCCGCAGCCCCCAGCGCGCCTGTGTTCCAGAGAGGGCCGCAAAGGAACGTTCCAGACACAAGCCTTCCTGGCAACACCTGGTTTACGTTGGAGTTGAACTGGGGTTAATTACATTGAGGACAGTGGTTCCCTAAATGAGCAGCACCTGCTCTCCCCCTGCCTCTCATCCTCATCCAAGCAGGTGCTGGCTGCTTTCCTCAGAATAGCGGCTGCTTGCCTGAGGATCCGCTCGACTTGGCCCTTCTGTGAGGAACGTTCTAGAACCGTGTGGGGTCTGTGGGGAACCCTCTAGAACCGCAGTGGGTCTGCAGGGAGCCTTCTAGAACCACGTGGGGCCACGGTAAGCACCACCGCTGCTGAGGGTACCTCCTCTTTGCAGCCGAGAGAGAGCAGCAAGAAGGAGAAAAAATGAAAGAAATTTAAAAAGAAAAAAAGAAAAGAGGAGGAGGAAATAAAAGGGTGGGAAGAGAGAAGGGGTGGCTGCGTGAAGGGCCGTTCGGGAGCGGTGCTAACGCATCCCTGAGGCCCGTGCTGTGGTGCCTCTCCCCAAATGAGGCTCAGCAGCAGGTCAGCACGCTTTGCAAAGTTAATTTGGTGTTTCTATAAGAGGTTGTGTTAATAACGTATGTGAATATTTTTTTTATACCTATAAATTTATACTGGAGTAGAACAGAAATGTATAAGGGAGCGAGTGCTAACTTCTTCGAGAGTAAACTGCGTTTATCTTTGCATATTTATGCTCTCTGCTAGAAACTCCACAAAATGTGGGGCAGGGTGTGGTGGAGCAGCAGCTAGACCCGGCCTTTGGGCAGCAGCTTGAGTCAGAGGGCCCTAACGGTCTGGCGTAACTTTAATCTGTGATTTAATTGTAGCTTTTTTTAGGGGAAAATGCAATGATGCAGTGAGCAAAACGGGTTTGGTGTGTGCCCTCTTCCTGTATATCTGTGTGTGCACTGAAAGCGTCGTTTTTACTGTATATGCAGAAAAACAGTGATGCCTGGCAATTTTAATAGCTTTCTGTGTAACATTTCAAGGCTGCCCCTTGATTAATTTAGGTGGCCAGTGCTGTGTAGTCGTTGCAGTCTTTCCTGCATGTTTCTCATTGCAGCGAGGCAGAGCATTTGAGTTGAACGGTGGGTGAAATATTGCTAGTTTGTGCATTTTTAGCTTTCCACAAGAAACCTGGGATATCTAAATTATACTTCTCAATGAGAAGCCGCATATGATTTTTGAGCAAATTAACTTAAATGTTCCTGAAAATCCTCAACTGTTCTCTATGGGAAGTTATAATAATGTATCACTAGGTAGGCTGTGGAAATGAGTATTGACACATGGATGACAATTTTTAATTTCATAACATTATGAGCAACTGACATGATTATAATAATACAGTTCTCTTTAACACAGTCTCGAAAAACACATCGATTTTTATAGCTCCCCAAACTGATTACATTAATATCTATGCATAATTAGTTTACACATTACTAAATTACTGACAGATTAAAAGTGAAATAGTGCAGTTCATACTTGGCTGCATAACTGCCAGAAAGGAAATTAATATGGATTCAAATGGTCCTTGGAGACCTGCGTTGAAATAGCAGAAATCTATAAAGACTGCTTGCATTAGGAAATTTCTATCACCAACATGTTTGTGGTTGATGCTTTGCTAAATCTGTTAATATGGGTAAAATTTAGCACAGGAAATGATGTTTGAATGATGCTTTTACAGTTACCAGCTCAAGAATGTGTTTATTAAAAAGTAAATTCCTGATTATAATGTTAAATGGCAATTACATTGGATGTGAATATGAATTTTTAAATACCTTTCTAAGTGCTCCCAATTAAGTGGCAGCATAAAGTAGCTTCTACTTAAGGTACATTTGAAAATTACAGTGTTTGCAGATATCATAAAAATAGAGAATTTGCTGGTGTTGCTTTTCGCTCTATCCAAATGCTAAAGATTAGAGATAAGCTTGCATCAAAGCTTGACCTGTTTAGACAACCTCAAATTTGTCCAAACAAATTTGTCTCTATAAGAATTTTGGCGTAATCTGAATCAACCAATTTTATATACAATTCATTGGCCATCAGCAGGTTTTTATGTTTTGAGTACATCAGAAAAATACAGGAGAAATCAAGCTCTGAAGAAAAGTTAATGCATGCTCTACTTGTCTTCAGTGGGAAAAGCAGTTTATTGATGTGTTGTGGATGGAAAAAGGGGAGAAGGGCTAGGGGAGACTTGCGTTGAGACTGCAAGTAGCAACGTGGTGCCAGGTGACATTTCAGAGGAGGCATGATTGAAAACCAAAAGCAGAGTTAAAAATAAAGCCACTTAGAGGTATGAAAAGATTTCACTGTGGGTTTTTTGATTTCTTTCACTTCGGTAGTAACAAATCTATATTTGTTACTATAGATTTAAATCTATATTTAATAAAAGGGGAAGGTATGTAGGTGAATTCAGTTGATGATTTCATGTGGAAGTGTCTTGTCGTTGCAGACTAGGAGGAGATAATTTTCACTTTCACAAAACAGCAATTTTAGCATCATGATCTATTTCACTGAAGTAGTCACTTGGACTCATTAGAACTGTGTTTATGATTGCACAGTAAGTACTTCAGATTTGCCAATCCGTGCTGGAATTAATCACTTAGATTCATCTTAATTTGAAATGGCATGTCAGCGAAACATGACTTTTTGTAAACATTTCCATCGCTTATAACACATGCAGTAGGATGCTATACGGGAGGTCTCCAGGAATCCATGCAGACCATATGAAATGCGTTTTGCAGACCTGATGTACATTACTACTGGGTTGCTATACTTCTAGCTGGACCGTCGTGAAGTGGTTTGATCCTTGCTGGATAGGGCTGGCTGCTCCTGTGCATGGAGTCGTAATGGGCTTGCAAGGAAAGCAGTGGCCAAAACTAGAATGTCTCAGAGGACACAAGTACAGAGATCTAGCAGAACCAAGGATGCAAGAGCAGGCTCTTAGGAAGAGAGAGATGTAAGGAGGAAAGATGAAAAAGATGACAGTGGTGATGGCAGACAAATAGGTATATTTGACTTATTCACTGTCCATTGTACTTCAGGCTCTCAAGCCTGTTTTCTCAAGCTCTTGGCCTGTTTTCTTTTTCGTTTTTATTTATTTATTTATTTATTTGTTTGTTTGTTTTTAGGGTAGGCTCTTTTACTTAATCAAATAAGGAATTTACGCAAGGCAGAAAAATATCATATGAAGTATCATTTACTGTGTTAAAACAAAGATAATTTAACATCCCCCTCCCCTTGAACAAAGTATAGCAATGTAGCAATGTGTTTATGGCTCTTCATATATGTTATCAAATATTATCATGGTTTCAAGTCAGATTAGACAAACAATTTTACAATATATTCCTTCCTACAATATACTCCAATATATTTCTACAGTATATTCTATTATAATCCTTGATGTAGCTATGATTTAAAACATCCTTAATGCTTAGTATAGTCAGTGTATACATATATACTGTCATATAGACAGTATCAAGTAAATCAAGATCTTTATTCCTGTCATTCCATTTAATGCATAGGGTGTGTGATGTAACCAGTCACTTTGATCAAAACCTGTGGGTGAATTTGGAAACCTTTGCTTGGGTGATGAGTGTAACTTGAGAGTGTAGCAAAGCATTACTTTGATTACTTAAAAACTTAATAATTCCCACCCTGTGATCATGTCCAATAAATCGTTGTAATATGTTAATGTGTATTATGTTTTTCAGAATGCCTTGGTTTCATTGACGTGGTTTCCAGAATTATTTTTTGGTAGAGAAAAAAAAAGTTATTTGCATAAAATGCATATTACAGAAGTAGGTGTAGTGAAATGAGAGACAAGATCAGACTGGTGGGTAGTTTTGTTTATTATCTAACTAAGGCTTTATAGGTTTGAACATTGCAATTGTTTTTCTACTCATAACATGGCTTTGAGAAGTTATGTAGAGAAGGAATATGCTGTTTGTACTTCTCATTTATTATGAGCTTCATGTGCTAAATCAGAGTTAGGATAGTTTAGGAGATGGTGACAAAGACTGTTTCTATTTAATGAGGTATGCGAGTGTTGGAAGAATTGTGAAACGTTAGACCACAGTTTCCATAAATGCTAATTGGACATAGTTACAGTCCTGTTTGGTATAGACGAGTCAAGGGAATGCTCTTGTGAGAAATGCAAGGGTTGGATTTAGAATTTCATTTGTTTCAATGCATCACTGTTTTTCTAGTTTCTATAGGCTACGTGTCTGGTCTTTGTAAAGGCCTGTTTTTTGTTTTTTATCCTTTCAGGAACTTACTTGTTTGAATCTCATGTCTTGAATCTCATGTTCTAATATGAGAAGTTTTCCTGTGTTTTTTTTTTTTTTTTTTTCATGCTTACCTAGACCAAAAAGCCATCACTGCTCTTGTAAATTGGTGGCACTTTGGACTTGTTAGTGTAATTTGAAAAACAGGCTCAGAAATAACACGCTCACCTACTACAGCTTGGGTAGAGCTAAAAATACAAATAGATTCCAGTAAAAAGCTATAAAGTATCTAGTGATAGGAAGCTATTATTTACTTTAACATATTTTAGGAAATGAGTCTTTTTTTTTTTTTTTTTTTTTTCCCCTCCTTCCAATCTCTCCCCGCCTCCTTGTTATCCTCCAAAGAGCAAGTGTTTTGTATTTACAGGTTTCTTTTCCCTCTGACTTGAAAAGGACATCAGTGATTTCACAGTCTCTTGGAAAACTAATCTTCTAAGGCAAGGGAAGGAACAGCTCTAAAAAACAAATTAAATTCTGAGTGTTTTCTTGATTTTATTATTTTTTCTGTTTTTTAAGAAAGGTGAGAGCATTTTTCTGGCTGCTAAGGCAGGGAAATTCTACATTTACTTCTTACCAATAGTAGTCAATCTCTTTGTTATAGGATAGTGTGATCATTTCTGTGTATACTAGGGGAAAAAGTGCTTCTACTTAGAGAACTACAAAGATTATGCAGTGTTGGGATGGAAACGTGGTTTATAGCTGCCAATTTTTGAAGTAGAGCTTGAAGCCATTCGTTTTTCAACAGTTAATGAAAGAGGTGATCTCTGAATGTCAGGAATATGTTAACTTCTAGCCTTATCAACTGCTGTGAGTCTTTTAAAGTATTGCATCTTAAAATCTCGAGAAGTTTGTCAATTGACATTTATTTGTGTGATGTTTGTAAAGCTGAGTTTTCAGTAAACACTGTCCTGCTGATTGGGTTCTTCAGCCAAGAAGGGAAAAGAGTAAAATCAACACGGCCCAAAAGTTAGCCTGGTGCAAACTCTGACTGCAGTGGAGGGATTTCCTACCTCTGTATGGACAGATTGCTGGATTGGCTGCAGCTAGTTGTATAGTTACATGCAAAAGTAAATAAACAGTAGGGGAATTGGTTTCCCCTTCCCGCATTAATACTTTGTGGGACTTGCTTCAGAATGTCTTCTCTGTTATGTTGTGTATGGGATGAGTTGATAACTTGCATAAGGCAGAGGTGTGCTCCTGGTCAGACCTTGAACCTCTGCAGGATGGTCTGTGCAAGGCGGCGCTCGCAGCTGTTTGGCAAACAGAAGCAGCAAGTTTGCAGCCAGTGTGACACACTGCACACGCACAGCCCTCCGTCCGGAGCTGCTTGTGTCGGCATATCACGTTTCCTGGAATGTGAGCCACGTGAAATGTGTTTGTGTGTGTACACACGCACATACACACTCTTATGTGCTGTAGATCCCACTAAAGCATTCGAATGAACTCTATTATTTAGTACTACTTAGCAGGAGTATCAAAAGAATAGCTGCTTTCCAAGTTTTTCTGCACAGTTGTGAGCAAATAGGACTGCTTGCAGTATTTTTGTTGCAACAGTGTACTGAAAAGCTGCTGTACAGTGCAGGCTACTTCTCCTAATCGTGTTGTATATGCAGTGGTAAACAACGTGAAGGTGCAGAACCTATTTTTGGAAGAACTAAATGAGTTTGCATCCAAATCATGTCACAAATTATTTGCATATTATTCAAAAATTATTTGAATTTCTAAGAAATATGAAAATTTTGCAGGCCTCTCTGATTCCCCTTAATCCCTATTCCACTGAAACCAAGGAAATGAATGTTCAGTATTTTTCTATTTGAGTCTCTTGATATTCTATTGATTCACTTTATTTTCCCCAACAATGTTCTGACAGATTTCCCAATGTGGATTACTCGCGTTCTTTGATATTCCTTTTGTGACTGCCTTTGAAAAGTGCATCAGAATCAGAGTTGCAGCAGACTCTTTGCTAGAGCTACAAATTAGCAAACATGGAATTAGCGTGTTCACTGCTGCTGGCATGTACAAAATACCCTTTCAGGATCCAACAGCCTGAATACTACCTCAGAGGAGAAAATGATAAAGAAGTGGTAATTAAATACTGCGTCATGGGCTTTTGGCAACGTTGTTGAAATTGTTAAACATTGTTTAACGTGTTGAAAGGCATTTTTCCTGCATCTTGCCATGCACCATCCCTGCATGGTGTAGTTCAGATTGATATGTTTAGTTTGTACTCTGTATGCTTTCTATAAGTTTTAGTTATGTGAAAGATAAAGGAGAGAAGCGGTAGATTTTGGGAGGAAGGTAATAAGAGCATTGAAAATGCAAATTGAAAAAGAAATCTGAAAGCGCTGATCTAACGCTGAGCAAGTTGCGTGTAGAATTTCTGTGTGTTTGGAAGGTGATTTTTTTTCTAATATATTTGTTGTTCTCAGTTGTTGGCCTGGACAAGCTAGTAAAGTGACAGTCACTGAAAGGGGCAGGGCGTACTTCTATTTTGCTGTCTGAGCTTGTGCACCTGTGTAAGGCATTGGGGGGAAAAAAATGGAAATATGGTCCTGCCCACCCTGTGATGAAGAGGATGAGTACACCCTCTAGACAGGAACTGATGTTTGCTGTTGCATTCTCTCAAAGCCTAAAACATCTGTTTTTCTTTGGGATGGCTCTTGCACCAAGAGAATTCTCTTAGATACGATCCTGACCTACTCAAAGATGTCTGGGAAAGAGTAATTATTATTGCGAATGGTTGAAGTTCTTACATTTCATTGGGGTCCAGTCAAACACTGCACCTTCACAGCAACTGACAGCACTTGAACTATTGGTAATATTTTTCCATTTGAGTGGCTCTGTAAGTATTCAGCAGTTTCCTTAATTGGAGATTGCTCTGGTGTGATTCCCGGAATATTTTCTTTGCTTGATTGGGTAAATGTGCGCAAAGAGCAGCGACATGACACTTGTAAACTGATATGCTAATTTATATTTAAACTCTGCTTTCTTTATCTTTTTTATTTCAGATGAGGATTTTTAGTCAAAACACTGTGAAGAGATGCTGCACATATGAACAAGCTGAAGAACATTTGTTAAGAAGTTAGCAAGACAATAAGTAAGTATGTACTTAATGAGAACATCTAATTAGTACGTAAAACAGCACCTTATGACCTAGATCCAGCTTTCTGGACACACATCTTTGACAAGCTCCATTTTTAAGTATGAACTAAGGTTTAATTCCTGCAGAATGGTGCCATTTAAAAAAAAATGTAGAGTTTTACCTGGCACGTAGCCTATATCACGGCTATATTTAGATAAAATTCAGTTCCCTATACGCCGTGTTTTAGCATTTAATTTCTAAAACATGCTCTTATTGATTCAATTGAAGAAAAAGTGAAACCTGGAGGAATTCAGAGAGGGTTACTAAGTCAGTTAATAAAGATTAATATTGCATTTTAAAATGAAAATGCCAATTACTTTCTGAAGAATACTGAGTATTTTCATTGCAGCATACTCATGCATACTGAGTATGATGATGATTTTTGGAAAGCTGTCCTTAGACCTCTGATAACTTTTTATGTTTGTTCAGTTTGGATAAATTTGATGGAGAGTTAGAGATCTTAAAGATATTTCAGTTCTGTGCATCCTAGGAAAATAACCATGCTTATCTTAAACAAGTTGTGGTTAGAAGAAAAGCTCTTATTAATACTCTACTGCGGGGAAAGGCTCTCATGTGATGTTGTCCTTTATTAGAAATAAGGGAAGCCCCATAACCTGTCAACCTTAGGGCCCAACTCTGCAGGAGGCAGCCTTCATGAATTTTGCTCCTCCAGAAGCAAGGTGGCTGGGTTTGGAATCAGATTTTCTTAAACCCTAAATTCCTATTTCTATGGGAAAAGCCCACTCAAGCAGCACAGAAACTGACCAGTCAGTTGAGAAAATTTGAGTACAAATCATGCTGTTAAAGGTGCATCTGACTTTGAGGGTAGGGGGAGGAAAGAAAAAAGAGAAAGATGCATCTTTTTCTAACCTGTATGCTCATAATAGGTTACTAACAGAAAAGCTATGGTTTTGAAGAGCAAATAATTAAGTCCATAAATTCCTGATGGTATGAAAAAGTAGTTTACTAGCATATGAATCCTGTGCTGGTGAGGCTGGGTTATAACTAAGTTTGTGCTATTCGTGATGAAAGTGTGGAGAAATTTATAAGAGAATATCAGAGGGGGAAAAAATGTATCTTAATGACAATCAGGGTTTATCAAGAAAATAAATTTATCTAGTCCAACTTCATGCTCAGAGAAGGGTGGACTTCCTAGTTAGATGAGGTAGATCAGGGCTTATCCATTTGAAATTTTCATGCACTGATGTAAAAACAGAAAAATATTCAGAAACATACCTGTATTTTATTTTCTATACTTTTCCCAAAGCACCAAAGCATTCTTTCTGGTATGCTGTCAAAATAATACTTATTGGAGAAGATAAGACCAATACTTAGTATGTTTGGAGGCAGCAATACAAATGAAACCATTAAGGCACTTACTTTTATGATATGGAATATTCCCAGAGCTCTTGCAGTTATGACCTTTTATTAGGTGAAAGCTTAAAATAGACAAGGGATGGATGCTTTAAGGTACTGTTTCATCAAAAGGGGTAAACATTGTACTGCATCTATCCCCAAAATCTCATTAGAATTCCTCCAGAGATACTGTAACTTATGCCTGCTTTTGAGTTTATGAGGATTTGCATTGATTTTGATACTTTTATGGAGACTAAAATTTATGCAAGTGCTCATATATAACCTTTGTGAAATTGTGTCAGTAGTTATGCCAAAAATCAATATCCTATCCTAAAATGTTGAATAATAGGATTATTTCACTAGTTACATGCACAGTATAGAGGTTTAATAAGACTTTGAAAATATGGAACTCGCTGGCAAGGGCTTTGAGTGCAATCCTCATGCCTTTTTTGCTCGGTTCTTCATTTTGTAGTATATGTTTGTAGAAACTTCTGACAGTTGCTGTAGCTTTTCATATAAATTTATTTTCCAAATTGATTGAAAAGCTAGAACTCAACACAGTCTGTAAATGATGTTTGAAAACGCTAGTTGGACATCTCTTGGTACAGACACAACATTGGGTAGTTCAGTGATGGGCTCAAGTCATTTCTTTAGAAAGATGGAAGGGGCTTAAGAAGTTGTATGATGCTGTAGAGTTGTGGACAAGTTCTGTTGTGGGTTGGGCTGAACAGATAAAGCAGCTCAGCTGCAGATGCTGCTTCTGGTCACTTTTTAAAAACAGAACAAACAAAAAAGCCCCCAAACTACAGTTTACTGAAAACTGGTGCAACAAACTTGGATGGAAAATCGCACGGAGAAGATTGCATGTCACTACAGCAACAGATGAAATTACACTTAACTACCAGCTATTGAGGCATGAAAGGAAAGAGGCAGTTTTATAACGTGAAATGGAATTATATTGTGGAATGAATGTTGCCAAATAAAACTTTTTTCAAATATTTATGTAGAAGAGAATATTCAAAGATTAAGATGTTTTGTGTATTTGAAATTTGCCTGTCCTGACCCATAGTATTGCTCCCAGAGGAGTCTGGGATAAAGCCTTCAATCATCTCCAGATATTCTGCTAATGTTAGATTGGACTTGTCGTATGTCTGCGTGTGCAGTTCTGTGCTGCACACAAGTAACGATGCGGCCTGCTTTGAATGCACAGGCCCTTGTAGCATCTCGTGCTGGCTGCAGGATGCAGCTCTTGCTGAAGCTGCTGAGTATAGTTAGTTTGCCAGTCCCTGAGTCACTCTCATCTGTGACATCTTGGCAAGAGGATTTTCAAAGAAGGCTGCCTGTTACACTGCAGTGTTAGTTTTGCTATCGTATTTCTTGCTCTGTGTCCTCCAAAAGCAGCAGCAGGCACTAAACATGTAATATTTTGGTAGGTGCATGTACTAGCTATGGCCCTGTGCACCATGTGAAACAGGCAGCAAGTAAATAAATTAGTTTACAGGATTTACAGAGGAGCAGGCAAAGTGTGAGTGGAATCTGCATTTCCTCACCAAGATTTCTGCTGCCACAGTTTGAGGAGTGTCACTGAAGATGGAGCTTTAGACCCGGTTCTGTAATAGCAGTTTTAAATGGTGAGGGTGGCACTTAGCCAGGCAGGTTCGCTAAAACTGCAGAAATTTGTCTTTAATATTTGCATCAGGTCCATGGCTACTGCTTGTAGGAAAACTACATCTATAAAAAAAAAAAAAAAAAAAATCTCAGCTCGGATGGCTGGATAGTGACTTTCTTGGTTTTTGTGTTTTTTTTTGAGTTTTTTTTTCTTGTGTGTGTTTGTGATAATGTGGCAAACAATTCTTGTTAAAGTGAGCTTGACTGCATTTTCTTTTTAAATAGCAATAAAAGAGAATAATAATGTACACTTAAACAGCTACTAACCAGCCTCGTTGACCAGTCTTTCTCACATAAGATATTCCGAAGGCTGTTTTAGATTGCATAATGTTATGATGGCAGTAGTATTACAAGTATTACTTCTCTTTAGCCTGTTTGTGTATATAAAATCTGGAAAAAAATGCAAAGATATTCTGTCACTTATGTTTTGATTTTTTTATTTAAGTCTTGATAGCTAAAAATAAAATAATTTGAATTTGCATTTCTTAAATTGTGATAAATTTAGGAATTGTTGTGAGGCCCTTGTTTAAGGGGGAAGTAAATCTTGACCCAACAACCTCCTAAATACTTCCTAAATGTCCTAAAAAGCAAGATATCGAAACGGAGAATATATTGTGCCTGAGAGAATTTTAAGAGCACTTCCCAAGCCTATGACAAAGGAAATGGGGCTGCGTTTTGAAACGAGGCCCTCCCGCTTTGATCTCGCTATGATTTTCCCGTGTCTTTCCATGCCCATCTACCGACACCCTCTTTCTCAGTCATTTTCTCAGTCCCTCTCCTTGCCTTTCTGTTTGTGCAGGGAGGCTCTGGAGCATCCTGCGGATGCCGGGCACCACCTGAGGTGAGTGAATTCCTGCTTTTGGGCGGCGGGTCTGGCGGGCAGCCGGCGGGCGCGGAGCCGGCAGATGGTGCTGCGCAGCATCTTATGAGCCTCCTAGGAGCCTCGGGGACCAGGAAACTGCTCAAAGTTTCGAGTGCATTTCCTGAGCTGGAACAAATGTTTGTGGAATTAAGTAGTGATTTCCTTTAGTCTGGGAGACTCTTTTGCTGGGTATGTTTTCTGTCGTTAGATGTTAACACATGCCATGTACTGCTTAGTTTTGTTTTTTCCTGGTGGAATCAGGGGTTCCCAACCACACTTGAAGCAGCTAAAACTGTTCGTTTCAGTTAGGAAAGGTTTGACTTTTCTGATAGGATAACTAATAAAACTTGCATAGTAGAATCTACAAAGGTTTAGAAGGGAGAAAATCTGAGAAGTGTAAGTAAAAACAGCAGTCAAGCCTTTTACTTACGGAATACAGATGAGGGATTTTTTATTTGTTTATTATTATTTTTTTGCTTTCAACACTAACCCTACCTCTGTGAACAGTGAAATGTTCAGTGCCTGCGTATGAACCACAGACATAAAAAGACATGATGAGGTATGTGTCGTCGCTGTCTTTTAGTGAAAAACTGCAGCAAACAAAATTACTCTGTATTTGGTTTGAAATTGCAGGGTAGCCAAATATTGCCACAAGCTTCAATTATTTTTTTCACAAAAGGGTTAAGTGAAAATTCTGATGCAACAATAAAATATGGAGCACTTGAATTGTAAATAAGATTGTTCCAAGGTTTCCATTTGCTGTATTAGTCAGTGACAAGTACAACGTCTTTAATGCATGCCATAAGATTAGTCTGCCCAAAGTAAACAAGCAGTTGTCTGTATGCGTCCCCAGCAATTGGTTAGGGTTATATGTGTGCAGCTTTGTTTCTGATAATGGATTCGAGTTCAGCATAAATAAAAACAGTGTACATTAAGGAGGATAAATATCTAATTGCCATAATCTGCATCTAGAATGGATGTAAACATGCTAGCCATGGAAAAAAACATTTCTTCAAGACAAAGTAGCTAGTTGGAAGCTTATTAGCAAAATATCTGTACTTGTGTCTGTTAAAAGTTACTGTTTTGATCTTTGAAAAAGAAATGCTCAGAAGGCTTTTTTGAGGTCACAGGGTTGAAGACTTTTAAATATGCGATGAAATTTTCGTGTGGGTTATTGAGGTTTTGTGGCAGTGTGTGAAAGTTCATCTTTTGTAAAATTTAAAAATCAGAACAGACCTACGCTGTTGAAAGTTTCACTATCCTTTAGAGTAGCTTTAGTATGTAGAATTTAAAATAATAAGAAATCATACTGCTTTTTATCTGAATTTGAAGAATGAGGTAATAACTTTAATACCAATATGTGCAGGCACTGTCTATATAGTATTTTTTGCATTTTGGGTCTTTGCACAGATGTAGAGGAGTGCAGGTACTTGTTTTTACAGCGTATGCTATAGGCCCAGGCAGGGCTCCACGACTGCTAAAACTTACCTGGTAGCATTCGAAGCTGTAAATATTGGGGTGGACTGTTATAGCTGAATACACTCACTTAGAAATCTACTGGGAAAATGTGACATCGCTTTGAATAACATAGGTTCTTGTCACTGTAATCAGAGTGGGATTGGCTGGGGGGGATGTTTATGTCCTTTTTAATAACTGCAGAATTTGTTTATCTAACAAGTCACCTGTTTACTGATGTTAAAAACAAACATAAAAAAAAAAAAAAACCCTCTAAGTGCCATGCTAATAAAAACTTCAAAAAAAATTTAAAAATTAAAAAAAAAAATCAAGGTATCTTTTACAGAACAATATGTGGCATCGGTAAGTATACCAAAATACATTTATTCCTCTCAAAACTTGGCTATCTTGGATTAAAGACTAAAGCATCCTAAACTTTGAGACTGTCTTACGAATGTGATGAAACAGTGTTTTGCAATATTAAAAAGAATGTTTTATTGGTAAATTACCAATGGATTTGAAAAAGACAGTTAAGCTCTGTGAGTATTCAAACTTACTGGATCGGTTTTTAAGTCCTTTTTTTATGAAGCTGATGATTATTAACATTTAGGTATAACTTTAGGAAAATCTACCAATAAACTAAGTACTTCAGAATAGAAAGCTTCAATTCAAATTACTGAGTAATTATGATACCTATGACAGGTTTTATCATTTAAAAACTTCTAATGGTTTTTAATCTAATTTTCTTTCTAGAAGAAAATGCTGACAGCTATTTGAAAATAATTTATTTCTGTTGTCTGAGTTAGATTTCTGTATTGTTAAGAACTTGATTAAAAATACTGGTTTAGATGTGGAATATTTGTGCTGTAAGACTGTTTCATGAAAAATTGTGTGACCTAAGGATCAGTATCATCAACACTGTAGTGAAGCAGGGATGGGTTTTTGTTTGTTTAAAAGGAAAATTTAAAAAGTATTTTGGGGATAGTCATACAGATCTGTTCACACTGTACTGAACAATATTCTTGCTGGTATCACAGAATTAAAATTATTGTCTAAAGGGAGTATTAATCTTGTAAAGAGACAATTCAGAGCTTTTATAAATAGGTATTTTTTTCTATTTTGGGGAAAGTCAACAGTCTTGCATATGAAACTTTTTAATATCCTCTATTAATATCTCAGTAATATGCGCATTTAACTTCTCTACAAAATAACTGTTATGTAATAAACTGATTTAAATGCTGCAGGAATATCTTATTTAATATCCTGAAAATGAATAGTGAAATGACTAACTCGCTTGTCCTTGGACTCATTGCATTACTACACCTCATCTCACTTCATCATTTAATTTGTATGGCTTCCAAATCGGAGCGATTATCATCTATTAGTACCCGTGGTGACAGAGGGCAGGACACTGTTGTATCAGAGTTAATAAAGCAGAAACACAAGCCTAATTACTATGGGAGGTAAGCCATGCTGGCAAGATTTACCTTTCACATAGGATCTATATGTAGTTAATACTTACAAATAAAGATGGATAGATATCTCTGCGTGTGCACTTCTCATGCTCTCTCGGGTTGAAGTAATCTTTTTCTACAGTTTTTACAGTTTTTGATGATGTTACCCTTTTTCCCCCTCCACCTCTCCCCTGCTTGATAAGGTGTTACAGTAATAGAATTCAGGTGCTTATCGTTGAGGTTTGAAAACCGCTCTCTGGAGTGCTGCACCGAGCTGACTCGGGCAAGGGCAGCCCTGATGCTCTCAGCATTGCTTCCCTCTCTGCAATTTATACAGGAAAGGTATGCGGAGCACATAGCATCTTAACGTGCACCAAAACTACTGCAGACGTTAAATTTGTCATGAGAAGTACTTGTCATGGGAAAGTTAAATATAAATAGTACAGATTTTTGAGCAGAATATTTGTAGCGATTAATATTTCCTGACAGGGGCACGTTATATATTTGAGCGTACATGTGAAATCAGTGTTGCACTTTGAAGTTTTGTTTTACTGTCATCTTCTCACTCAAATATGCAGTGTTAGCCAACAGTTCTTACAAAACACCAGTTTCAAGGAGGAAGTTGTTTAATCGGAGAATTCAAATCACTACAAGTAATACAGATTTTGTTTTTAAAGAGAAGCAGGTCTCACATCTGCAAAAATAGGTTTATTTCATCTGCTTGTTTGTCTGGGTATTATGTGTGTCTGGAAAGTTTTAAGCCAATGTCCGGATGGTATTTGTGGTGATTTGTTCTGAGGTGATGAAGTCTTTATTAAATAGAAAGAAATACACATAACTTTTTATGCTATCAGATTGCAAAACATAATGGTAGTTTATATTAGACTTTACATAAAATGTTTTATTGATTCACTGTATGTCAATTTTAATTTAAGCTTTATGATCCAATCTGTGTCTATTTTTAATTTAAGTGGATTACATTCCGTAAAGATCCTTTTACTGTATTGACTTGGATGTACCATATTATTAGGTACTATGAGTTCAGCTTCTGCAAATCTGTTAATACATAAAACCATAAGAAGCCTCTTATGCTCAAACCAGGTTAGAGTGAAGACATCAGATTAATATTTGATCATGTAGAAGTGCTCTTAATCAGATTTACTTATTTCTCAGAGTGTTTCTGCAATTATCATAATTGTTGTGCTAAATATGTTTGTCTTTATATCTGGCTTTGGGCGTAATCTTCTCTCTTGAAGCCCTCTCATTGTGGGACACAGATTCCTGCACAAAACCCAATTAATATTAAGATGACAGTCCCTGATGAGTTCCCAAGGAGCCAGCAGCTGAGCAGACTCTGTAACATTCTCAAGTACAGACTACTTGAATGATCAAGAGCATCTGAGGGAGACACACAATTCAATAATCCCTTTCTCAGGAAAGTCAAGAGTCCTGTGAGATAAGAGTGAAATCAAAGGAACACATCAGAAAGAAAATGACTGGTATAGTCTTGTAGTGTCTCTATTAAAATGCAAAAGTTATGGATTTTTTTAGGGGTGATGGGAACCTTTTCTGTTTTATTGATTTCTTTTTATAGTTTGATCATTTCTCCGAGATTATCTTAAAAGCTTGAAGAATAAAGAGGCTTCATCAAAAGATATCTTGTGTGACAGGAGCATATATACATTTTGCTGCCATTATATTAAGTAAGAAATATACTTTATATCTCTGTGACTCCTGCTCTGTGAGACTTGAACTTATTTAACATATGATGTATTTGCTTTGTGTTTTATTCTAATGGAGAGTTATGAAATGAATGATAAATAGAGCACACGTGACTCATAACAGTAAGGATTGTTCTCTGAAATTATGAAGGTATTTGGGGGGAAAAAAGCAGTATTTTCCGTGCTTTTTGCAAGATAGATATAATGAGATGGCCAGATATATGTAAGATGGCAACATCTGTTCTATTCGGATTTCCTCTATGGTCTAATACCAACAACTAAATTTACCATCTGAAGGTAACGTGCTATCCTATCGATTGGTAATCGAAATTGGTTTCCTGTCACTTTA